GGAGAGGGGGATCTTTGTGGGTTCCAGGCCAGACAGGGCTACATAGTGAGACCTTGTCTCAAAACAAACAAACAAACAGATTCTAGAAAAGACACCCTCTTCAACAAACGACACTGGAACACTGATGTCAATTTGTTAAACAATGAAAGTGGATCCATATGCCTCACTGTACACACACAAAAACACCTATTCTAGGTAGATCAAATACCTTAAACCAAAAACTTTGACACTGTTAAAGGGAAAACACTTATAGGCACAGGGAAGGATTTGTTGAAAAACTCCTTGACAGCACAGGACAAATGACCCAAGGAACTAAGAAATGGGATTGCATGAAATCAAAAGGCTTCTGTGCGACACAGGAAACACTCGACAGTGTGAGGAGATGCCATGCAGAGCTGGAAAACAAAAATCTTGTGCATCGGAGGATTATTACATAGATGTATAAAGAACTCTGAAAATTAAGCAACAAAAAGCACCCAAACGATACATGAGCTAAAGAACTGGATAGGTAGTTCTCAGAACCAGAAATACAAACAGCCATTAAGTAGTTGAAGAAGGTGTTCAATCGTCTCAGCCATTGGGGAAATGCTAATTAAAACTGCTATGAAGTTCTATCTTATCACAGTCCACATGGCTGAACAAGTAACAACAGATGCTGGTGCTGATGTTGGGGGGAAAGCATCCTTAGCACTGCTCGTGGGACTGTAAACCTGGGTATCCTCTGTAGAAATCAGTATGGAGGGTTCTCCAAAAACAGAAAATAAGACTACCAAACAGCCCAGCTGTATCATTCCTTGGTTCACACGTGGGGGACTCTAAGTTAACACAGCTCAGAGAATGCCTGCTCGTCCATATTTATTGGGGTCTTATTCACCAGGACCAGGAATCTAAACCAGTCTAAATGTCCATCAGTGGAAGAATGGAGCAAATGTGATGCGTGCACGTCACAGAATTTTATACAGACACGAAGAAAAATAAGATCCGTGGTGTCTGCTGGAGATGGTGGTTAAATGATATCAACCGTATTCAGAAAGATAAGCATCACGCTTTCTTTCAAATGTAGAAACTAGATTAAACATTATATGTATGTGTGAATGTATGTGCTTTTATATATGGGGGGTCACTAAACTATATGGGGGTCATGAGACAAAGAATTAGGGGAGAATAAAAAGTGGA